CAAGCATGAAGCCATTTGCTTCTGGTAAATATGGCTGAATTTTCAAAATAACACAAAGTCAGGGCATTGAATCGACAGTTTTAAAAGAGTCTGTATTAGTAGTGAACTGAGTGAAAGTTTTGCAAAAAACCACTCAACTGGTATTTTTGAGGAAAAATCTACGATTTTTTTTTCGTAATGAATGTTATTGCTCGCCAATCCGATTTCTGAAGATGCAGTTCGAAATAAGTTTTAATCGAAGTAAGCATCTGCATGAAATTTCCTCACCTTTCAAAACATTGCATTTATGTGACTTCACGTGAATTCTCGGTTGTTCGACAGGGAGAACATAGATGGGTAAAATGTTAGTGAAATTATAAAAACTGATCATCCTGGTAGCTATTTGGCCAGCACTACAAAATGAAAAGCTGCATTTTAAGAAAGTCTTAAGATTCTTTTATAAAATTTTGCTTAATTTAATTGTGACGGATTGTGCAAGTTTAAAATAATTTAATTGAAAAAAAATTTGCAGCGGCGAATCGGGCTCTGGTAAAACATTCGTTTTAATGCGCTGCGCCAATTATTTAATTAGTACATCTGCTCAACCAACATCAGGGAGGATCAGTACCGTACAACAGGTATGCTTCACTGAGAATAAAATTTAGCTGTTGTTTTTTAAGCTAGGTAATGAACTGCAAAAAACTTGTACTACGAAATTCCTAAAGGAAGCAAAAAATTTGAGAAAGCTACCACGTATAGCAAATTAGGCTTCATTTACTCTGAGGTGTAAAGAAACACTTCGAAAGAATTGAAGATAATGATGATGAACGGATCGGGTTTTTCCCAATTTTCCCGGCCCATACTACTCATTTGCCAAGGGGTCTTTGTTTGCTATGTGGCCAGCCTAAAAATTTCTGTTCCATATTATTCATTTACAAAAAAACACTGCCCACCATAGTCAGCCTTTCTAAAGATCTAAGAAAATATACGATAAAAAAAAAAGAAAGCCGTGTTTCTGGCCTTGCCGTTTTGCGACGTAGTCATATTACGGAGTCGAGTATCCATCTAGTTAATTGTTCGATTTAATTACATTTCATTCACTTTCATTGCAGTTAGAAGCTGTGGAACGTGTGCTTGATGCATTTGGTGCAGCTCGGACATTAAAGAACTCGGGGGCAACTCGAACTACCTACTATGTGGAGTTCATGTATCGCCGGTATCGATTTTTTCATGCTTAATCATTTTCTTTTAGTTAGGCTGTTACCA